GAAGCTCAAGTAGGGGTCATCTTAGCCTGTTTTCCATTGACACAGCAAAATACCTGACATTAAAAAAAAAAAAAAAAGGTTAATTGAGCTTATGGTTCTGGAGGCTAGGAAGTTGGAAAGCATGGTGTTGGCCATGGTAGGCCTCTTCTTGATTTATTAAGACATGGAGATCATCACATAGTGGGACAGAGCAAGCAAGCTGGATCCAGTTTTTTTTTTGTCCTGGTCTCATAAAGATATTTAAGCCATCACGGAGGTCCTGTCCCATTCTTGCAGTTCAATCTAATCCTACTTAGCAGCCAAAGTCTCCACTCACACCTCCCCCAATCCATTACCATGAATAGGCAGATTAAGTGTCCACCACCTAAACTGTGGGAGTAATGTTCATTCAAGTCACAGGAGATGCCCCTGTCCTGCTCCTGTGATGGGAATAATCTTTCCTGGGATAAGCTGTAGCTGTTTCAGAGTTTATGCTGATTGACACAAGGAAGTCATGTTATAATTTTATCTCACAGTGTTAGTTCAGTTCTAGAACAGTTCTAGAACAGGAATCTACAAACTTTCTATAAAGAGCCAAAGAATAAGTGTTGTAGGCTTTGAAGGCCACGAGTCTTCAAGTTTTCAACACATGCTTGGGGGGGGGGCAGCTCAACACCATAGCAACAAAACGTTATTAACTTTCTTTCATAAAACACCTTCATTATTCAGGCCTGTCGTATAGCAGAGCCCTCCATGTTCAAGCAAGAATTTATAGATAAGAAGCGCAGGAGTTTGGTTTACACAGTTAACTTCCCTCACGATGAATGCCAGCACTAATCATTCTTAAATACAGAAATGCAGATAGAGTTTGGGCATGTTAATAGCAGGAGCCAGTGTACTTGGCTCACTGCCACATCCTACACAGAGAGCAGCTGTGATCTGACTGCTTTTGCAAAATGTATTCAGGTACAGTGACAAAGAACTATATCCAGATGCCTGAGCGGTGTTCTACATCTGGAAGGAAGCTAGGCTACAGAAATCAAGAGCAATTGGATGTGTCTCACCTCAGAGATGTTCTTGGGTAACCAAACTATACAAACAAGAGTCACTTTTAAAGAAACCTTTCATGTTCACAGTAACTTTTTCCAAATGCAGCTTGAAGTTCAAATATAGCAACACTTATCCAGGCAATGGTTTGCACAAGACACAAAAGCCAAGAAACAACATTTGCATTTTAGTCAGAGGGGTCTTGAGTATTCTCTTTCTGTGTAAAAATCATGGCCAGTGGTACTGAACAGTAATTACAGCCAGTAGATGGCATCTAAAAGCTAGGATAATATTTCATACCTATATTTAACACCAGACTGGCCCATTTAAGAGGGTTTATCTTCTGGTGTTATTATATGCGATCATTTTAATTTCCAACCCTACTCATAAGCAGAGTTGTTTTTTTTTTCATCCAATAAACTTGTATGCAGTTGATAAATGAAAAGTAATCCTTCAAGTAGAACTTCACAGTGCTAATGCAAGTCCACACTATAAGCAGACTAGTGTGGATTTTCAGAATGGCTATCACTGAAAAACATTAAACATCAAGCACAGGCCTGTCAAATGGTGATTGAATGAAGCCAAGCTGCTAATTGTTGGACCAGGACCAAAAGAAATAATGAGTGTAACACCAAACACCCTTCAACTTGGATAAATTCTATGGGAGTCAATTGAGTTTAAAAGTTTCACAAATAATTAAATTACCGAATAGGACACAACAGAATGAGAAAGCCAACGGATTGAGTTCTATTCTGTGGAGTTCAATTTGCTTTTCAGTTGCCTGTATTTAGCTATCTGCAATTGCAATGGATGAAAGCCATTAAAAACCCATCTATTTTCTTATGCAACCTCAACAGAACATCAATGGGTCTTACCACATATAGATAATATATTTCTTAAATGGAGAAATGCTGCCCACAGCTAAGAGACCGGATTTTTAAAGAGACATTAGACTTTTAAGTAACTGTTGGAAGTTTTAAGGATGATGGGAATTTAAAAGTTGTGCTGTATTTTATATTGTGAAATTAACATGAGTCCATGGGAATAAACAAAAAAGGAAAGGGTTATGGTTTTAATAGTGATGTCTTTGTCAAATGACAAGAGGTCAATTGTGTTGGTCAGTTTTTGTAAACCAGAGTCCCCTGGGAAGAGGGAACCTCAACTGAGAAACTGTCTCCATCAGACTGGTGTGTGGGTGTATGTGGAGGCATTTTATTGACTGCTAATTGATGTAAAAGGGTCCAGTCCACCTTAGCACAATTCCTAGGCAAGGGAGCCTGGGCTACATAACAAAGATAACAGGATGTGAGTAAGCGCTTCTCTTAGAGCCATTCCTGCCTCTACTGCTGGAGTTCCTCCTTGACTTCCCTCAATGATGGATGGTGACCCAGAACCAAAAGGAGACAGACCTCCAGGCTCACATTTCCTCCCTCTTCAATGATCGTCAAGAAGCGAGGACCTTAATTATAGCTCATTCATGTATCTTATGACACAGTTTCTAGGTGTTTCTCTATGTTTTGGTATCTAACTTGGAGGCATACTAATTGAATGAATAAAATAGCATTCTTAGGAAAGCAAAAGACAAAGGTCTTGCGGGGTTGGGGGTGGGGGGCAAGAAGGGCAGAGATCAAACCTAGACTTGTTTTTTACTTTAATCATGAGCCATAAAAGAGCCAAATGCCATGCTCTCCTGCAGTAAGTTTCCATCAACACTTCATCCAATATTTACAGTACAAAGGCAGTCCTGCCGTCTAAGTCCAAGAGACATCAATCTTCTTTCTTTACCCCTCGATCCATCTTCCTATCACATTCTCACCTCTCCCATCCGTCCAATGTGTTTTCCAGTGGTAGTGGCCAACAGTGGACCAGAGTGCTGCTGCAACCAGAAGTTTAGGGCATACAACAAACACAGCACCCTTCCAGATCCCGGGGAACTGCACCGTGTCTTTTAAGTAGGGAGACATCATTCTCTTTACCCAAGGATGATGGTTCTGCAAGCACAGGGGTGAGAGACTGCTTCTATTATACCCTAGTCCTCATGAGAATGCTTCAGCTGGATCCAAGGACTCAGTTTACAAAGAGCTAAATAAGAGAAAAGCATGAACAATGTATATTTTATAAAATGTCCATGCATGCACATGGAATCGTCACAAAAGGTAGAGGCTACCAATGCATGACGATTTGGACTTCTTAAAAACAAACAATAAATGTGTGACTGAGTGACAGGATGGATACATTTCTGGACCAGGATATTAAATTCTAGAAGTGTCAGTAAGAAAGACGGAGGCGGTAGAAGTTCATGGATGGCTAGGGTCACTCCAAAGAGTGTCTGTTCAGATGTGTTGTTTCTCTAGGATAAGGCTCTGGTGGGCAGGGCTGTTTTTAGGCTCTTGTTTGTTCTGGAGGTCCTTCCTCATGGAAGCTTTGTGGTCTTTGTGTGGAGGGACATTTAGCCCAAATGGCAATCTCCAACACACTTGTTTTCCCTTTCTGTTTTTGAGGCAACAATTTGCTATGCCATTTAGACACCCAGAACGTAGTGTGTAGCCCAGACAGACTTAAATTTGTGATCCTTCTGCTTCAGCTTTCCAAGTTTGGGGATCCCTTGTATGTACCATCATCCCACTCCCAGATGGCCACTTTTTAATTAGAAATCCTTGGATTGCAAACAGTTGCAAACCATCACCACACAGTCAGTACCTTCACTGGACACTCACCATCATGGTAAACAAACTGGTCACACCGTTTTTTAAGAAACCTGGGCCTGTGGAACATGGAGGTTTCATTTAATAGATATTTTGCTGATTGTAGGATACAGCTCAGAGCCTTGCCTGACAGGAGCAAGGTTCTGGGTTCAACTATTGCATTGTAGTCACACAGGAAGCCACTAAGGGTAAAGCATGATATTGGGCCCTGCTACTTAACAGCCACTGTGGGCTTAACACCCATCAGAGCCAGGCTGCTGTTATATGGTCCGGGTTTTTTTCCTTAATATCAGCCTTCTAGGACTTAGAGGTTTAGGTACAGTGAGACAGGGCTTTGGAGAGCTGATAATACAGATAACTAAATAGCCACACCTGGGTTAAAAATCTCAATCATCAACCCAATGGGTGTTTTTTCCCCCTATGATGTTGCCTGTTCTGTTCTACTCACTAAAAAGTCATTTATACTCAACAGAACACATTCGAGTAGCTGAAAAAGCTTTGAGACATGAGTATTCAATCGCTGTAATTACTGTTCTTCATGAAGCTGCGCTGGATAGCTTGAGGACCATCAGGTGGGACTTGGGGGTTGCCTGCTCATTTCATGCAAAGCATTCTCCACAGCTTCTGATAAACAAGTGATTTACAATCAGTTCCCGAAATGGAGTGCAGGCTGAATTGTAACCTTTATTGCAACAATCCAAGTAATGGCAATATATGATTGAGTAATTAAGTAGCCGGGTATCAAAAGGTCCCCTTGATTATTGTGTACAGGAAAAATTCAAAACTAGCATTGTCCTATTTAATATAAGCACTGGCACATAAATGATGGCCCTGTCACAAACCTCTGACTAAGGGAAGGAAGGCACAGGGTATCACCCTGTAACCTATAGAATTCCTGGCTAACTCAATCTCATATTTGTCCCTAAGACCCCTCACCTCTTGTCTTAGGGTTTCTATTGCTGTGAAGAAACACCATGACCACACCAACTCTTACAAAGGAAACCATTTAATTGGGGCTGGCTTACAGGTTCAGAGGTTAAGTTCATTATCATCACGTCACATCAATGTGCAGGCAGAGAGCATGACAGCTGGAAGTATGACAATGTGCAGGCAGACGTGGTGCTGGAAAATTCTACATCCTGATCCAAAGGCACCAGGAAGTGAACTGTCCCACTGGGCGTGGCTTGAGCATAAATGAGACCTCAAAGCCCACCTCCACAATGACACACCTCCTCCAATAAGGCCACACCCACCCCAACAAGGACATACCTCCTAATAGTGCCATTTCCTTTGGGAGCCATTTTCTGTGACACCTCTTATTCACTGTTCACTTTCTCTGAGATCTGCACCAAATCAGAGACTTCAGCTCTCTGGAGTCCTCTTGCTTGTTAGACTCCTTTATTTTGAAGGTACCTTTGAGCATCTCAACATTTTCTTCTTGGAACTGGATTTGGGGTACAGCATGGCCAGCCCCACATGGGGCACAGCTCAGGCTTGTGCACAGAGGCTGAGAGGCTGCTTGCAGGAGAAGCAGCAGATTGGCTGTGTAGGCAGCAACAGTTTCATAGAACCCAGAAATAGGCTCTGCAGTATATGCAAATGCAAGCGAGGACTACAGCAGAATGGGCCTATGGGTCCAGAAACATCAACCCTCTCCCAAAGGCCAGCATAAAGCACTAAAAGGTACCAAAAGTTCTTATATAAAATCAATCTGAAGTTTCTACTGGGGAGTGATTGGAGAGTTCTCTAAAAGTCTGGAATGTTGCCCCACTGGGTTATGTTTTTGTCATTGGTCCCGAGCTTGAGGCACTGTTTTGAAAACTGAGTTTTTGAAAACCAGGAGACAGGTCCTAGCAGAAGCAGTCCCCTCATCCACGAGGACCAGCCTTCGAAGGTGATGGTTACTCCTGGCTCTAGCATGCTGTCAGTTCCTAGTCCCATAACCTTGGGATGACTCTTTCTCCTGTGTTGTCAACACAACGGTCTGAGGTGGTCCCGTGCCTTCCCACCACTGTGGACTGAACCCCCCTGAAATGGCATGCTAAAGTACCCCTCCCTTGCCCTATTTTAGTGTCTGTGGGGCATTTGGTTACAGCAATGCAGAATCAGCTAACACCAACAGCTAACAAAGTATGTTAGCCTGAAGGACGATGAGTGGGAATGTGCTGCATGTGGTTGTTCCAGAGCTGAAGAGAAGGGGCAAAGAGGTGAATACATTTTACCCCAGTCACATAGAAACAGCTGTTTAAACCAGTCCTGGGGAGCCAGCTGTGGAAGGGAAGGCTCAAGAAACACAGATAATTTACCTGCCAAACTTACTGATGGCCGTTAGCACCTGTCATTAAAACAACAACAAAAACAATTTTGCTTTCATCTAAGGTAGAAGAGGATCACACCTGGAACAACCTGACCAGCCATCCTGCCCTAGAGACTTCAAACACAATGTCCTCCCTTCTTCCACACTCTTACTATTCCTGATTCCTCTGTCACCAGTTGTGTGAAGATTGTCCCCACAGCAATTCAATTCCATTCTCAAGCAGACGCTGTCTGGGTAGCCTACCATTTACTACCTGATATTAGATTCCACAGGGTAAAAGCTCAGCCCTACATCACTTCCCACCTTGGATTCCAATTCGAAGTTCAGGCTATGGAACGACCAGGTATAAATTGAGATTCCCATGACTCCTCTGTGAAGTCTGATAAATTGCCAAAATGGCTCAGGGAACCCAAGAAAACCGTTTACCTTATTAACTACATCTCTGGTTTGTTAGAAAGGATAAAGATCAGAAGAGGTGGGTGGAATGGGGCACAGGGTAAATCATGGTGTCAGAGCTTCAAATCTCCTCTGGTGTGGTTTGGCCAATTGGTCTTAGGAAAGGTCTGGGCCAGGACAATGGCTTCTATAAGTCCTACTTAACCCCATCAATTCAAAAATCAATCTAGCCTTATATATCTCCTTCTTTTAGTTAGTGGAGGGAGACCGTCACTCACCTGTTTTTCAGAGTGTAAATACTTTTCCAAAGAGGTGTAAGGGCACAATGAAGAACTTGAACAATGAAAGTGGACTATCTAGATACAAATCTTACTTATTTCTGTCACTTGGTAGCATGTACGATACACGGCTGCTCGTAATTTCCTTTGTAAGGTAAAGATAGTCATGGTTTCTGAAACATTAGGTTGGGAGGCAGTGTACTCCTTGAATTAGAACTAACATACGGCAATTTCTTGATAGATACTGTTGAAATCCCGGCCCGTTGTGGATCTGGATGGAGGCTTTCCGTAAGCAGATGCTGTGGAAGTCACTGGCTGTGTTTTGGTGTCAGCAACATCAAATCCCTTATTTTCTGGGATCATCTTATTTAACAAGTTCTGTTTTTATATTGTTGTAAACTTTTGGAACAGCCCAGAAATTCAGAAATTTTGGCAGCTAAACAACATCTCCCAGATGTCTTTTTCATTCAAAGGATCCCTATAAATCCTCATGTCCTGTTCTGTATTGAAAATATAATATGGCCACCTTGGTCCAATTTCTGTTCCTATTGCCTGGCTTCTAGCCAGCTTCCTTCTAGGTTACAATTTCACCTCTAAGTGATGAGACAACTGGGCCCGTGCACTGGTTATTAGATTCTTCAGATATTCAAGCCTATTTCTTACACCAAATAGCAGAGGATATTGGACCTTTGCCAAGAAGATTGTAAGACTAAATGAAGCCTCAGTAGAACATCTACAAAGGTAAGATTTCAGATGAGACTTTGATGTGTTTATAAGGTGATATACTCTCCTTTCATACCATCCTCAGGGGTGGGAACAAGTTCCCCTGGGCTGGATGATGAATTCAAGACCTGACTAGAGATCCTGTCACAGACAGACAAGCAAATGAACCAAGCGCTAACACCATTGACTTTCTTAGACTTTCTCAATTTCCCCAATCATGCTCATTCCCACACCTGAAGCTGGCAGTGGAGTGCTAATACTTTCATTACAGTTTCTGTTATATTGTAACTGGTAATGGGTAACCGTCCTCATCAATATGACTGGATTGAGAATCACCAAGAAGACTGGATGAGGTAAAACCATGAGTGTGTCTGTGAGGGCATTTCCAGAAAGGATTAACTGAGTGGGGAAGAAGCATCTTGAATTTGTGTCACATCATCCCTTGGGCTAAAGGGAAGGACAGAGTAAAAGAGAGCAAGGCAACTATGGTGGTATTTTATTTGTGCTGAAATGTGATTTTATTTGTATGTTAATAAATAAAGCTGCCTGGGGATCAGAGCTAAAAGCAAGCCATTTAGCAGAAGTCCAACAGTGGTGGCACACGCCCTTAATCTGATTACATGGCAGGCAGAGTCTCTGTGTGGTCAAGGACACAGTTCCTGAAATTCCAGGATGGAGCCCTTTTATACTTCCACACCACATTTTATGTGACCCGAACCTTTAATCCCAGTACCAATCATAGAGACCTGGAGGTCTATATAGACAGGCAGTGACAAGGAAATTATGTGGTTGGGTTTAGAGCCAATGAGAAGGCAGAACAGAAAGGCAATAAAAAGACAGTCACACAGGAAGAAGGTCTCTCTCTCAGGGGAAGCAACGGCATCGAGTGGTAAGGGAGTCATGGCTCTTGCTCTGATCTCTTAGGCTTTAACTCTGTATTTGACTCTACGTTTCTTATTTACTAAGATGGTTTAATATTTCATCTACAGGCAACAGAGTGCTTTTCTCTGCCCCCCCATCTGCTGTGATGATAACAGCTCTTATATGCCATGCATTCCCATGATCATGCTGTTCTACTCAAGTGTGTGGAGGCATGTGGCCATCAGTTGAACCCTCAGAGACCATGGGACAAAATGAATCCTTCCTACTTTTGTTATTTTTGTCAGAATTTTCATCACAGCTACTCAAAAGGAATGGACACAGTTGTCTATCTGCAAATCCAACCCAAGTCTAGCCCCTTCTGTCTTTCTGCTTTCTCTTCCTCCCCACAGGTTATCCATGGAGTTGATGATTAGTCTCAGCAACTGCTTAGCATATAGTAGACTTGGCATTTCAGCAACACCTGTTGAATCCGGTAGGCGTCAGCACTCACCCAGGTCCCTCTTCAGCACAGAGGACTTTGGTTCTCAGACCACTTGCACTGGGAGCCCATGTGCTAGCCTTCCTGGTGGGGTGAGAACACACGTAATGAGAAAGTTTGAGATCCAGGTACTGTGGCAAACACTGAAACAGCAGGTAAGCCTGATGGTACCTCTACCAACTAGAGATTTGAGTAACAGAAGCATGCAGCCTCTGCTGCTCACTTTGGAGGTAACACACATTTGTGATTGAAGCCATTTATATTTGAGGAGTTTTGTGACTACAATGTATCCTGTCTATTCTGACCAATGCATAGTGGATATCAAGTATTTTGACTTCATCTGATTCACATGTGAGATCTGGATATAAGAAAAGTACACTATTGGAAGTCAGAAAAGTTATGTGCATGAATGCATATGCAAATGTGTTCAAATAAATTGTGAACTTTTAGTCTTACTCTTTCCTAGCTAAAATTGGCAGGTTGTACCAGAGTAATGCTAAGCCCCATGTACTATGATTCTTTGGATTTGAAGGAATAATAATTACCTTCAAGGTCAAATGCTCAAATTTAATGGGCTACAAATCATGGGCTATACGTCAGTATAGGTCATTAGTTCCTGAAATTCCAGGATGGAGCCCTTTTATACTTCCACACCACATTTTATAGTTTCTTAGTAAAGTTATTTCTCCTTATAATCTACCTGCAGGAAAAAAAAATGAGTCCTACATAGTTGGTTTGCCCTTTTGAATTATCTGGTAATCAAAGATTTCCTCTGCCACAACTAACATCTGAGAGAAATTCATGTTGCAGGAGCAGCGACTCTTAAATGCTCCAAGCCATCAGACTTACTTGGGAAAAAGCAGTGGAGGAGAAGGAGACTGGATGTAGCCAACTGGGCAGCTCTGATGTGGCAGCTTGCCTTTCAAGCAGGTGCCATTGAAGTGACCTGAGCAAATAGGAGTGTTCAAGGTTGGTAACTGGCATTAAACGGAGCTAAGCTTGACTGCAGAGGTCAAGGTGTTTATAGCTGAGGTAGGGTCGCCACTCCTCCTCACTAGCGAAGCACTCCAAACAAGGTTTTCATCAAGAAAATGATGGAGAAACTTATTTACACTGACCTCTTCTCAGGAACACTTGGCATTTCCCAGGAAGCCATGCCCAGCTTCTGAGCCTTTCCATTGGCCTTTGTCTTATGGGACATGTGACTATGAATTCTAGAAAGGATGGTAAGGGCTCCAAGCCTCAGCTACTCACCTGAAAATGACGAAGCTGAGGGCTGGACTAAAATGGCACGGTTAGGTGGAGGTTAGATTTCTGTATTTCTTGTAGGATCCCATGGTGGAGCACCAGGGATGGAGCTACATGAACTCTTCTCCCATTCTCCAAG